AAATATTTTAGCCATCTGAATTACATTAATCTAACATGAAAATATAAATAAAAATTTATCTTTTAAAATAATAAAATCATGCACCATTGATAACAAAAAAAAATGGATAAAACCAATATAAACATAAATATTTAAAATTTTATACAGTAATAATAACTTTTTTTTTTTGCTATCAATGCCTCAACTATTCAAAAAATATAAGAAATTTATCATGAAAAGTTATACAATATAATATTTTTGTTTAATAATATTTTTAAATTGAATGACATTTTAACCCTCATGAAAAATAACATAATTAATAATAGGAGATTTTGAAAAATAAAATTAAAGATAGGGGGTTAATTTTAAACTTTCAAAGGTGAAAGGGATTATATATAACTATCTCAAAGTTCAGGAAATTTTATAAATTTTAGCCTTTAACCATGCATGATCTATTATTAAGATTTTATCAATTCAGCATTTATAATTATAATTAATATTCTTATGATGAGTCCTTAATTGTCTTTTTCTTTTTTCCTTGTTTATTTGTAACCAGCCATATTTCCAAGAAAAAAGATGAAGAGGAGACAGATAGCTCAAACTTAAGGCCAATGTGATGACAATATGTTGTGGGTACCCACTCGAACGATAAGAGAAAGACTATACATATTCATATGTGGTTGTCCATCTGACTGAATAAACCAAGAATCCTTTGATCTTAAGGTTAAGGTGACTGAGAGATCAGGTAATGGCGCGTGAAGACAATAAGCTGCACATCGCCCTGTTTCCATGGCTTGCCTTTGGCCATCTCATCCCCAACTTCGAGCTCGCAAAGCTCATAGCTGAGAAAAGTCACCTTGTGAGCTTCGTGTCTACTCTGAGAAAGGTCTCAGTTTTATTTCCCTCATTTACACAGAATTTTACTTTATTTCTGATAAAGCCCCCTCACACTAATGGGCTTTGTTTCTGAGCTTGATCTGTTAAGATTGGATAACCTAATATTTCCCACTCACACTTGGTGGAGAAAATAATATCAATCATATCCCTTTCTCTCTTTTATTTTTATATAAGATGCTTTGCCGTGGCTGCATAGGCTTACAATTTTTTTTTATTTGTACTAGAAATCTTATTAAGGATCAATATATATTGACTAATTTGTTCTTGATTAAACTTGTGCCTTAAATATTTTATATTTATTAATATATATTTTTTTTCATTATGACTAATATAATTTCTCTCGAGTCCTTTATAAATGATAATTTAATTTTTTAAAATGTTATAATTTATAAAATTATAATGAAATCTCTCTAAAATTTATAAATGATAATTTAATTCTTTAAAATGTTATAATTTTTTTTAAAATTTTTTTAAAACTATTCTGTTATTAATAAATTTATATAAATTATTAAATTATCAATTTACAAGTTTTATTTAAATATTTATAATTTTTTTTATATTTATAACAATGCAACAGCAAATAAGGAATTTAATATATAAAGTTGTGATTTATTGTTGTATTGTTGCGCATATAAGAAAAAAGGTTATGAATATTTAAATAAAACTTATAAATTATTTATCTTTAATAAGGATAATTTGAAAATTTATATAATTTTATTAATGACAGAATAGTCCTTATAGACTTTAGGAGAATTATGGTATTTCGAGAGATTAAATTATCATTTATAAATTTTAAAGGAATTTTATTATCATTTTCCCTAATTTTTTTAATCTATCTCAAGCTTTGCTTGCCACTGTAATTTTAAAAAAATTAAAGATCATATTTGATGTAAACATTCGAATATCTTCTGAGCAACACCTTGATTATAAAGATCACATGATAAACTCGAGATGCATGCATGGAAAATGCATGTTCCAAAATCACATCACTTAAAAACGATGCACAATGATTTTCCAAAATCGCATGCATCGCGTTGAGAAGATATGAAGTGATGAGTCCATAAACCTGCAAAATCACAAGTTATTCTCCGAAAAATAAAATGAAAAAGTTGGTTCATTCATCAACATCTCCTCTTGTGAACTCTCCTGGCTGGCACTCCCAACTGGAGCGAATGCCTCAGGATACGCTGGATGATTCATAATTCCTGTCAACCTCATAATTCATGGATTTAGATTTAGATCCATGACTGGCTTAAGTATACCCATTAAATGGGTGTTTTACGTGGGGCGATAATAATAATTTAATTTAATCAAATGATTGTTAAAGATTTTGTTATATAATATAGAGAGAACATAAAATTAAAAAAATATTTGGATGTTTTAATCGCAAAGATCGGTTTTAAATTTTTTGAAAAAAATACATTTTAATAATTTTTAAATATTAATAAAATATAACGGCTACATAATTGAAACATTCATTGAATGTGTATCTTTATGTTATTTACAGGATTCATTTATTGAAAAATTCTTAGATAAATTAAGCATATCACATCATTCATATGGTTCATTTAATAAAAATATGATATTCACATAATGTTAAATATAAATTAATTTTAATATTAATGATAATAGATAAAAAAATAAAAAAATTAAATAAATGTTTTATTATTATTAAATCCATCATGAATAAAGTGGTGCACTGATTTCATCTTAAGAATTTCTCCCCATGTATCACGTGGCCACCACCATTTATTGCTTATTAATTATACATGTCCTTTATCAACTACCTTGTCTGTTATTATTATTATTTTTTTAGTGAATATCAAATACAAAGTACTCCATAAAAAGAAGTCGCGCATGGATACATAGTTAGCGTTCATATCTGGGCCAAAATATCTGAAACAGTTGATAGGCAAACAGGTAAAACTTAAATTATGCGAGTTAACATATATGCTTCCTATTCACTGGTGAGGCCCATTTGACGTTAGATTTTACTGAATATAAATGGACCGATATTTAATGTAATTTCAACCCCTGAAGTGCGTGATTACAAGTTTATGGTAGTGTGATTACAAGCTCAAATAATACCCCTTTTATTTTCATTTATAGAAGAAACTATTTTAATTTTTTTTAATAAGAAAAATAATATTTTTAATAAGCATTTATTACTAACTTTATAAATTATCCCTTATAATTTTATCATTCATAGTTATAAGAAACAATTAATAGATAATTGATGAACACAATTAATGAAGGGTATTGTAATCTAATTTTTTTATTTATAGGCACAATTAATATAATTAACTAATTTTTTTAAATTATATGATATAGTTTATTGCTCTTAAAAATATAAACGAAGGGAATATATATTTGGATAGAATCATAAGTGCATTAATTACAATTATACATCTTAAATTATTGCAATCTCAATAATAGATCTTGGTCCTTGCAATAAAGTACTCCCTTTGTTTATATTTGCAAGAGAAAGAAATTATATTATACAATTTAAAAAATTGATTAACTATATTAATTGTATTAGAAAAAATAAAAGAATTGGACTAAAATATTCTTCATTAATTTTTTCTTATGACTATTGATAATAAAATTATGAAGGTTAATTTAATTAATTTATAATAAATGCCTATTGAAAAATGTGATTTTGTTTATATAAAAAAACAAACTAAAAGTGACAATTTTTTTTATATATAAAAATGGAGGGACTATCTTTTATTGATTGCCTTGAGATTCACAAGTGACTTTTATAAATTTTCAACTGATGCTATAAAAATTCTCAAGTATTTTTTGTTAAGTTTTTAAGAGATTTATCTATATATTAATAGTAAAAAATCACAAGTGGATTAGCTTTTAACTCACAACCAACTTTTGTAAATTCTCAACTGATATTACAAATAACATCCAAAGTGTATTTTGTATATTTTTAAAGAGATTTATTTATATGTTGACAGTAAAAAATTACAAGTATTGACAAAAACAATCGAGATTCATGAAGAACTTTTGTAAATTCTCACTAATATTACAAATAATTAGAAGCATATTTTGTTAATTTCTCAGCTAATTATTCACATTTTTAATGGCTAAAATGTATAAAATTCTCCTAAATTTTGAGACAGTTGCATATAATCTTTCCTACCTTTAAAAGTTTATAATTAATCCCCCAGCCTTTAATTTTGTTTTTCAAAAACTCCTATTGTTAATTATATTATTTTTTTTCATGAGGGTCAAAATGTCATTCAATCAAAAAATATTATTAAATAAGATATTATATTGTAAAAATATGGCTAATTAATTTTTTATATTTTTTGAATTGTTGAAATATTGATAATAGCTAAAATAAATGTTATTATCACGATATAAAATTTTAAATATTTACTTTTCTATTATTTTTATCTATTTTTTTTATTATCAATGGTGCATAGTTTTCTAGTATTAAAAAATAAATTAATCTAACATGATAATATTTAAAATTTTAAATATTTTAGCCATCTGAATTACATTAATCTAACATGAAAATATAAATAAAAATTTATCTTTTAAAATAATAAAATCATGTATCATTGATAACAAAAAAATAGATAAAACTAATATAAACTTAAATATTTAAAATTTTATACAGCGATAATAACTTTTTTTGTTGTTATCAATGCCTCAACTGTTCAAAAAATATAAGAAATTTATCATGAATAATTGTACAATATAATATTTTGGTTTAATAACTTTGTTTAATTGAATTATATTTTAACCCTCATGAAAAATAACATAATTAATAATAAAGGGTTTTGAACAAGAAATTTAAAAGTCGGGGGGTTAATTTTAAACTTTTAAGGATGAAAGGAGTTATATACAATTGTCTTAAAATTAAAAAAGTTTTATAAATTTCAACCTTTTTTAATTGTAAGTAATAACCATGCATGGTCTATTATTAAGATTTTACAATTCAGCGTTTATAATTATAATTAATATTCTTATGATGAGTCCTTAATTGTCTTTTTCTTTTTTTCGTTGTTTATTTGTAACCAGCCATGCGGATATCCAAGAAAAAAAAGATGAAAGGCAGACAGATATATAGGTCCACCATGTTGCCCAAATTTGAGGCCAATGTGATCACAATATGTCGTGGGTACCCACTCGAACGATAAAAGATAGACTGCATATTCATATGTAGTTGTGTATCTGACTGAATAAACCAAGAATCGTTTGATCTTAGGTTAAGGTGACTGAGGTCAGGTAATGGCGAGTGACAACAATAAGCTGCACATCGTCCTGTTCCCATGGCTTGCCTTTGGCCATCTCATCCCCAACCTCGAGCTCGCAAAGCTCATGGCTGAGAAAGGTCACCTAGTGAGCTTCGTGTCTACTCCAAGAAACATCCATCGCCTTCCAGAACTACCTCCTCACTTGACTCCTCTCATCAAATTCGTCAAGCTTCCATTACCTAAAGTCCTCAACCTTCCTCATGACGCCGAGGCCACCTCCGATGTTCCCTACAACGTTGTCCAGTTCCTCAAGAAAGCCTACGATGAACTCCAACAACCCATGACCCGGTTTCTTGAATCTGCCAAGCCCGACTGGATCATCTACGATTTCGCTCCTTATTGGATTGGCTCCATTGCTTCCAAACTGGGAATCAAGAGTGCCTTCTTCAGTATTTTCCCTGCAACGTCTATGGGTTTCATTGGATCGGTTTCGACTTTGATGGGAACTGACGATGACAACAGCCGCAAGACACTCGAAGACTATTTGGTTCCGCCGCCGTGGGTTCCATTTCCGACCACCGTAGCGTTCCGATACTTCGAAATCATGAGAATATCTGACTCTTTTTCCGACGACAACGACTCGGGTGTTTCCGATGTTTATCGGTTCGCTGCATCTTTCCAAAACTGTGACATAATATTGATTAGAAGTTGCTTAGAATTTGAAGGAGAATGGATTGAAGTCGTCAAAAACCTTCACCGGAAACCGGTTCTACCTGTCGGCCAACTTCCCAGCACGGCCTACGATGATGGTGCCGAAAATGAGACATGGCGGTGGATGAAAGAATGGCTGGACAAGCAAAACAAAGGCACGGTGGTGTACGTGGCATTCGGGAGCGAAGCCAAGCCAAGGCAAGAAGAAGTGAAGGAGATAGCTCTGGGTTTGGAGAAGTCGGAGCTACCATTTTTATGGGCGTTGAGAATTCAACGCGGCCCCACCGACCCGGAGGTTCGACGGTTGCCGGAAGGGTTCGAGGAACGGACACGAGGACGTGGCATCGTGTGGACCGGGTGGGCCCCGCAGCTGAAGATATTGAGCCACCAGTCTGTGGGTGGGTTCTTGTCTCACTCCGGCTTGTCGTCGGTGGTGGAGGCGATCCAGAACGAGAAGCCGCTCGTGTTTCTGACGTTTTTGGCAGACCAAGGATTGATCTCAAGAGTGTTGGAGGAGAAGAAGATGGGATATTCGATACCGAGGGACGAGCGAGACGGGTCGTTCACGAGTGAATCGGTCGCCGATGCACTGAGGTTGGTTCTGGTGGAAGAAAGGGGAAGGATATACAGAGAAAATATGAAAGAGATGAAGGACATATTTGTAAATAGAGAGAGGCAGAACAGATACGTGGACGGCTTGCTATCTTATCTTAGAGAGAATAGAAACGCGAGCATTAATTAAAGTGGTCATGGCATCAGGAAATCTGAAGAGAACACGCAGTGCTTGCGTCGCCAAGTTAGAAAATGAAATAATTCGTCTTGGAATGAGGTGATTTTTATTATATTACTCCGTCTTTATATGTGTAAGTAAAATTATCATTTTTTATTTAACTTTTTATATAAATAAAATTTTATATTTCAATAAATATTTTTTACATATTTTTTAAATCACTCTTTATAATTTATATTAATAAAAAATAATTAATACATGTTTATATTAATAAATATATTTTATTTTTTTATTTTCAAACATTATTATTTAATAATTTTTTTAAATTGTGTGGTATAATTTTTTTATATATATAGAAGTGGAGAGAGTAACAAGTTTATTACAAATTTTTGTAAGTTTCAGATAAAGAGATAATCAATATATATTAGTAGTTATATGAACAAAACAAACTACATGATCAATAAATGATACGTAATAACCCATAATGAAGAGAAATGTATGGTGATGACAAAATAGATAAATTTTAAACACAGATAAAATGAATGCAACAAATTCTTCTTCTTTTTCAAAAAAAAAAAAGCAAGATAGACGGAAAAAAAAAATCAAAATAGAGTATGATATCTCATGGGATAGATGGCTGTCAGACATCAATTAAATTATTAAAAATTTCTTTGTATTTCATTTTTTTTTTATGAGAACCTTGTACTGCATTAGAAGTAATATTAGTAGCTTTATAATCTGTCTACATAGATAATTAATTACCTCTTCAACCCTTGCCTACTTTTGCACTCGAGATATAACAATTAAAATTGACCATGTATAAAAACATGTTTTGGCAAGTATAACCCAACATTAAGCAAGCTTCAATCATGGATTTTAATTTGTGTTACGGTTGTTTGAAGAAGACCATAAAATAAGAAATTATCTTTTATGATAAATGGAAGTCAAGAGTCAACAAGTGACATGTCAATTCTTATACTGTAGACATTTTTTCCCTCGTTTGATTTTGAAATTGTTTATACTTTTAGAATATGTTCACAAAGATCTAAATTTATCAATATTTTTCAAAAGCATAATAGAAACTCCAACCTTAGGCTTTAATGCATGATTTTTTAGGCTAGACATTGATCTTGAGATTTAGGAATTTGTACAATATAAGTCACCCATTATGTCAATATTTCCATCTTTTTTCTTTTAATCGACAATGAGACAAAAGCCCATCTCTTATTTATTATAGGAAACTAAACAAGTATCATTCAAATCCCTTACATCTCAAAGCAACAACTAGTTAAGGTCTTTAGGAGGAACCTTGATAATACTATAGCCAAAGTTTTGACTTAGATCAAATTTTGCAATCCAATCAACACACATGTTATTCTCTTTGTAGATATGTCTTACCACAATTTGCTAATCCCCATTAATTAAATTGAGGGGCATGTTGAATTTGCCACTGTTTAGCTATGAAACAGTCTAAAGCAGTCTGGAAGTCTTAAACCATAGCATGAGTCAGTTTCAATCATCAGCTTGTAGAGAGGTTAAGATCACATGCCACCCATACCTTATAAAACAAACCCTAAAACTCAGCTTCTTTAGTTGTACAAATACCAAGGTTACACACAAATTCACTCACCCATTTACCATTAGAATTGCAAAAAATCCTACCACAAGCTACTGGCCCAAGATTTCCTCACATTGAGCCATCAACATTAAGTTTAGTCTAACCTTGCAAGGGAGGTTTCCATCTACCTTGATTCTGTCTCTGGTTAAAGGATTTCCTCAAATCTTTTTGCATGCTAGTAAACACCAAAGTCACAAAGCTATAGATCCTGTTCTTAAGTTTCCCAACATTAGTACTATCATCATTAAAGATACAATTATTTCTCGATTTCCACAACAACCAAATTGTGATCCCAAAAATGATTCTCCAAGGGGTGCCACAATATTGATCTTTCTTCTTGAGATTCCACTGAAACCAATCAACCTTGTTTAGTAGAAAAATTGGTATGCGTCTGTGATAGCAAGAAATCCAATCCAAACATCCTTAGCTATAGTACAATCTCGAAGCACATGTAACACATCTTTGGTCTCATTGTGACATAAGTTATAGTAGTTGGGTGAGTGAAATATCATATTTCTTCTTTGGCTAGTCATAATTCTTTCATGCATAGCCAGCCACATGAAGATTTGGACTCTTCTAGGACCCTTCCACTACTAAATGAGATTCTAAACCAGATTAGATATGCTCCTGAGTTCCAAGCAAAGAGATTTATACATGGAACAGACAAAGAAAACTATATTAGCCTTAAGATCCCAACCAATCCTATCCCTTCCATCAATTAGCCTTGGGGTGTGATGGCCTATCGACAACTTGATGTCTTTTCCCCTAGAAAATTGGTCAGGTGTGAAAGATTCTACTCGCCCTTGTCATTCACAGCGTCTATCACTATCATATTGAGAAGCTCAATGGGGGTAGCTATTCACATCTATCAATCAAGGCCAAACTATTAGTTAACTATTATCTAGAATAAGGTATCCAATGCCATCTCTGATATCTTTCTCTAGGAAATCAACTACTTTAGGCCATAATTCAACTACATTGTGCTAGAAAGTTGAATCATAGTCCTGAACAATAGAACCCTTTGTAAGGTCCTCTTTCCTCATGTATTTACCCTTCAAAATGGAAGTGCACAAGCTATGAAGTTTGACTATAATAGTCCACACAGATTTACACAAAAGGGTTTCATTCATGGTTCCCAAACTACACAACCCATATCCCCCTTGCTCTTTTGGTAAGCAAAGAGTGTTCCAGCTTAGCACATGAACTCTTCTCCTTTCTTGAGTCGAATTCCAAATGAAATTTCATTGCACCTTTTCAATTTCTTTGCAAACATTGGTTGGCACTTTGTTGTACATCATGTAATAATTAGGAATCAGGGTTGTTATAGATTGGACCAAAGTAAGGCGACCTACCAAGGAGAAAGTCTATGCCTTCCATCCACTTAATCTTCGCTGTACTTTCTCAATCGAAAAATTGAATTGCTTCTTCTAATTGCGTCCTCTAATATTTCCATCATTGCTTACACACACCATCTAAGTTTAAATACAAAACCTCTTCTTCAAGAATCATAGATAACATATATTCAGATATGGAAGTTCATTTGAGCACTACAGTAAAATGTCAACTAGAATGGTGATCTTTGTCTCCTCATAGCTATTCACTTCAATTACCCCATCTCCGATGGAATGATGCAAGGCCTATATTCTCTAAGCTTTTGAAAACATAATATAACTTAAAATATCATGGAGGAAATCAGTGTTTTGGCCAACACCAAACTAATAGATAACATACACCCAGCCTTCCTTCAACTGAGATGAGAATTTTGGAAGGAAAGTTCTTTTGACAACGGCATAAATACGGTCACCCTAAAATGGTCACACATATACATACACGTAAAATAATTCTCATAATAGAACAGAAGCAAATGAAACAACACGTACAATATGAAAGTCTCATTATATCGACATTTTGTAAAATCATCTCTAAAGATTGAATCCCTCTGAGAAGATGGCAACTCGGTATTGTCCACATGCGTACTGCCTAGATTGTAATCCTCCAATCGTTTCAATAGTGGCATCAAATCATGAAGCCATAATCTGCACCACACTATAGCATGAGTAAAATTTAAACAATGAATTGAAGGATGAATAAAGAAACAGAAATAAAAAAAGTTAGGATGATAGGAGCGCTCCATGGAATAGAATTGAATGTGATCAGGGTTGAGTTACATTTTTCCTTTCACTGCTAGGACAATGCACTGATCGATTTAAATTGACGCTGGTGTGTTTTCGGTCATATTTAAATCAAGGCTAGTGGGAATCTATTTGATAGGGCTAATTGTAAATGTTATTGACCAATTAACTTTAAAACAGTATATATGATATAATTAGCTATAAATTTAAAGCATTAGTCATTTTCCTTGACAAAATCATCATGTGATCATATTTTCAATAACCTGCACATTTTGTCCATCAACTTATATGCATGGATTCTATGAATTTCATTTACAATAATAAAATATAATTGAATCTATCCCAAAAGGCTGATGGAGATATAAAAATGTTGATGAGATTGTACAAAAAAACAATTAAATTTATTTTATTAAGACAACTTTTTGCATATGACAACTAATTTGATCACATTAGATATACTTTTTTTTCATACAGCAAGCTGGAGGTATCATACATTAATCTAATATTTTTAATTGTTCATCATAATTAATGTAATAAATTATGAAAATTCAAATAATCCACATCACAACATGAATAATTAGGCGTGTGTACATTTCTTGAAAGCTTGTCTAACCCAATCCTCCCTGAGCCATTTATGTATGTTGAGTTGGGCTTCGAGCAAGGGTCAAACCTTGCCCAACCCCAACCCAAACATATGCCATTTTGTTTAATTTTTTTTATAAATAACATTTATTTTATGGTATTATTTTTAGTTGAGAGTTATTATGAACTATTACTATTTTTATGATCTTTTTCGACATTTCTTATCTTTATGATTTTTTAATCTCTTTTAAAAGTTAAAATTTGTTTTTAACTTAATATCATGTAAAAATAATTGACCATTGTTGATCATATGTAATCTAAAATAATTAATTTTGATTTTAATATTAGTTTTTATAAAAAAAATTTAAATGATAACAATTATGTTTTTTCAAAGAAATTTTTTATATTTTAAAAAAAATATTTGTAAATATTTTTCGGGCTGATTAGGCAAAACCCAATCCAAACTTTGACGCATCAGGCTGGCCATACAAACATATTGGACCAAGCACTGGGCATGGATGATGCTTGACCTCGAGCATATTCCATTTTTCGTTTAATTTCTTATAAATAATATTTGTTTTATGGATTATTTTTAGTTAAAATTTATCATGAACTATAGTGATTTTATGATCTTTTTTGGACATTTTTTATCACTACAATTTTTTTATCACTTTCAAAATTTAAAAATTTTTTTAACTTAAATATTATGTAAAAATAATTGTGTTGATCATATGTAATCTAAAATAATTGATTGATTTTAATATTATTATTATAAAGAATATATTTAAAATAATAACAACTATATTTTTTCAAAGAAATTTTTTTATATCTTAAAAAAAATATTTGTCAATATTTTTCAAGCAAAGTGGACAAACACAGCCTGAACTTTGGGCATTGGATTGGCCCAACTTATAGATTGGGTCGAGCATTGGGTAAGGCAATGCACAAACTAACCTTATCCATATGCAACCATACCAATAACAAATCAAAGTTGATCAATTAAAAAAGCAATTTATATCCAATATAAAGTTATGATCATATCTTCAATAAAATGTAAATTTTATTTCTAAAATTAATTACATGGATCATATGGATTTTATTAAATACAACCATAAACATTCTTTCCCATTCAGTTTCTATTATCAGCTTGAATTTAGTTGCTTGCTTGAGGATTCATTAATTCTTCAATCCAAAAGGAAATGAATTTGTTTTGATGTGTTTTGGAAAATTAATGCATTAGATTACACCACAAAAAATGGCTTGCTAAATTGTGTCCCTAGAGAAATGTTCTCAACAAAAATTCAAATCCACATCATATCATAAATAATATAATAAAGCTGACCAAAAGACAAAATAATCTATACCTAAAATAGATTTATATGACTATATCTTAAAGAGTAAAAGAAT